GACCAGGAAAAGGCAGGAATTATAAATAAAAAAATTTCCTCAGAATATGTTAAAGAGGATCCTATGGCAAGAGATATGCAATTGAATGCTGCAAAAAAACTTGCAGAAAAAGTGTGATTGGATGACTCAAGACATAATGCTGCAGCAACTAAAGTAAGTTAATGTAAACAAACCTCTGGGGCCTGACGGTATTCACCCGCAAAGTGCTTAAGGAGATAAATGTGAAAATAAGTGAAGCCTGTTTTTAATCTTTCAAAGTTATTTTCGTGGAATTGTACAGGAGGATTGGAGGAAGGCACATGTGGTTCCTATATTCAAAGAGGGTTCAAAATCTCTGCCTGGAAATTATAGACCTGTGAGCTTAACGCCTGTGGCTGGGAAAGTATTTAAAGGGTTATTAAGTAATAATATTTAGTGATTTATTGGGAAGAACATTGTTATTTGCAATATTTAGCATGGTTTTATAAAACATAGGTTATGTAAAACAAACATTATTGCATTCTAAGAAGAAGTAAGTCGAGATATGGATCAGGGTGTTGCAGTGGATGTGATCTACTTTGATTTTGCCAAGGCATTTGATATGGTTCCTCACTATAGGTTAGTGTTCATGCCAAAAGAAATTGATCTAGATGAATTCTTGTTCTTGGGTAGAACTTTGGCTTGAAGATAGAGTACAAAGAGTTGTTAATAATGGTACATTTTCAAACTGGACAAAAGTGTTAACTTGTGCCCCTCAGGATACTGTTCCGGACCACTTCTCTTTAACCTACAGTGAGGGAAATAAGTATTTGACCCCCTGCTGATTTTGAACGTTTGCCCACTGACAAAGAAATGATCAGTCTATAATTTTAATGGTAGGTGTATTTTTACAGTGAGAGACAGAATAACAACAACAAAAAAATCCAGAAAAACGCATGTCAAAAAACTTATAAACTGATTTGCATGTCAATGAGTGAAATGAGTATTTGATCTCCTATCAATCATCAAGATTTCTGGCTCCCAGGTGTCTTTTATACAGGTAGCGAGCTGAGATTGGGAGCACTCTCTTAAAGGGAGTGCTCCTAATCTCAGCTCAGGGCTGGCTCCACCTATAGGCGAAGTGGGCACCAGCCTAGGGCGCTCATTTGGAAGGGGTGCCGCGACCGCCCAACAACGCCACAACGCATGGCATTTGTACATTTGTCGTGGCGCTGGCAAGCTGAATGAGGCACTAAGAAGAGGGGAGCGCGGTCGCTGCTCTGAAAAGAGTCTATAAGCGAGCGCCAGAAATCTAATTGCAGGCACCCGGTTTTAGAAAAGTCTGTTTTTCTAAAATCTAAAACTTTTGTTTGTGTGTGGTGTGACTCAGTAACTGTTCTTATATTAACCCCTTCAGGACCGTCATCGGCATTTTCCCATTGCCGACCGCTGACGGTCCTGAACCGTCCTAACGTTCTTAGTTACTTACCTGATTGCCGTTGTTCCCCCGGCGGCGATCGGTGTTGCTCCCATTGTGGGGAGACTGACTGCAGTCCAGACAGTCTCCCCACACCGGATTAGGACCCCCAGGAGCCATGTGATCGCTCAACACAGTGATCACATGGTCACAATAGGTGTCCATGTGTCTGCCTGCAGGGGGACTGCCAACTGTAAAATCATTTCAAAAAAAATAAAGTTAGTGTTAATTAAAAAAAATAAAAATTATATATTTGTATATATATATATATATATATATATATATATATATATATATATATATATATGATATATAGACATATTATATATATATAATATAAGTCAATATATCATATATATAATGTCATACTAAGTGTATTTTTATATTAATATGTACATATATTAATATAAAAATACACTTATAATTAAATTACACACGTATATATATAATATATATAATAACTATATATATTTTATATATATTATTATAAAATTCAAATAAGAAGTAGATTAAATTAAATAAAAAATATTAAAAATAATTAAAAATTAAACAAAATTATATATCTATATGAAATTTTATTCTAACTGTATTTTGATATTAATATATATCTATATATATCAAAATACACATAGAATGAATTTGTAGATATATCTATGTACATATAAATAAATAGAAATAATATGAAATATACATATGTCCATATACATAATTACATAAATAATTATATAAATATACACGTAGACTTCAACTATATAAATATGCATATACATTTAAATTCTACATGCGTATTTTTTAAAATATTTTCACATAATTAAGTAATTTTATTGATTGCAATTTGAGGGACCTGCCTGCCAACCCAGGCCGAAAGTCCAGAGAATTTAATTACCTAGCACTGTATTTTACCCTGTAACGTTCTACGACACCCTAAAACCTGTACATGGGGGGTACTGTTTTACTCGGGAGACTTCACTGAACACAAATATTAGTGATTCAAAACAGTAAAATATATCACAGCGATGATATTGTCAGTGAAAGTGACGTTTTTTGCATTTTTCACACACAAACAGCACTTTTACTGATGATATAATTGTTGTGATACGTTTTCCAGTTTTGAAACACTAATACAAACGGACTCTTTGTTCACCTCACTAACCTTTATTTGGCTAGATTTTATGCTATCCTTCACATAAAGGGCCACCTCTCTCCCTTTTTTGCCTTCTTTGTCTTTTCTATATAAGGAGTACCCTGGTATTGCTATGTCCCAGTAATTTTTCTCATTATACCATGTCTCAGTAACAGCGACTAAATCTACATTATCAGTTGCCATTATTGCCACAAGTTCATGGATTTTATTCACTAAACTGCGAGCATTTGTAGACATGACTCTAAGCTTATCATTTTTTAACACACCCGTTACAGTTACTCTCTGTCCTTGTTTTGGGGGGCAATTGGATTGATGTTTTATCACCCTTTTGTCCCCCCCCTCCTAGTTTAAATACTTGCTAGCAAAACCTCTGAACTGCTCACTGAGAACATTTGTTCCCTTTTGAGAAAGATGCAAACCATCTTTTTTGTACAGTTCATTTCTATTCCAAATAGAGCTACCATGGAAAACAAAGCCAAATCCTTGCTCCCAGCACCATTCACCAAGCCACGAGTTAAGGTCCCTCATACGCATCCGCCTGTCGATCTGAGTGTTATGCACAGGCAGAACTTCAGAGAATTACAGTGTGGACACAACCTGCCGTATATCATTTTCAAGAACACAAAACCCTTCCTTTACCTCAGAAACCTCATTACAAGCCAAATCATCTGTCCCAAGATGGACAAGTACATCCAATTCCCCTTACTGCTTTGCTTGCTTAACAATACTACAAATATGTCTCCTGTCTCAGTGAGCAGTAGCTCCAGGAAGACATCTCACAAGACCACCACTGTTCAATTCAACACCTCTTAAGATAGAATCCCCTAACAGCAACTGCTTTCTATCAGGCCTCACTTTGTCCTTTTTGTCATTGGCTTCACTCTTATAGTGGCCGCACAGTTTCCTGTCAGATCAGGTAGAGGGAAACAGAAGCTCCTCTACCATGGGCTCGACAATGCTACAGGTGAGCTGACACAGGGAGGGAGAGATCACAAAGGGAGTGAGGTAGGGAGGGGGGCACAAAGAAACAGAGAGGGGTTGGAGAAGGGGCAGAAGAGACAGACGGGGCTGGGAAGCACACAAAGTGACACAGTAGGGTTGGGAAAAGTAAGAAAGATACACACAAATTGGGGTTAAGAAATACTAAAGGGTGTAAAATTGAAAAGAGTGAATAAAAAAACACAAAAGGGGGTAATAAATTTAAAAAATGGAATAAAAGGACAGGTGAAAATACATTTTTGGGGGGAGAAACTGGGAGGGAGGTGACAAAATGCATCTTCGCCTGTGTAGCCAAAAATCTATGCACTGGTCCTGAATACAATGGTCTACTTCTATGTGATGTTTATGTTTGAATGCAGGGATATGTTGTAGTGTTAGCCTTTAAAGGCAGGTGTACACAGGGGCGAGCATTTGGCACCCGGGGCGGATCCTGTGCTTGGCACCCCCCCCCCAAAAAAAAAAAACCTGTAAAATTTTTTAAAGGTTTTCTTTCTTTTTTTTACAATTTGTAAACTTTGCAAAACCGCTGTCAGCCCCTCCTACAAAACCCTTCTCCTGCCCCGCCCCTCCTACAAAACCTCTGTCCTGTCCCTTCTACAAATCCTGTACTGCCCCGTCTACAAAACCCCCGCAACCCCCTTCCACAAATCCCCTGCTTATCCCCCCTTATAAAGACTCCTGTCCCAATACAAAACCCCGCCCCTTCTACAAAATCCCTGCAGCCCCACACACACATTTACAGGCAGACAGTCACACACTCAGTTACAGACAGTCACACACTCAGTTACAGGCAGACAGTCACATACAGTCACAGGCAGACACAGTCACACATACACATTTCCTCCGTGCGGCCAGTTTATCAGCTGTTTGCTTGTGTGAGCTGTACTGGCCGCACGGCACCCTAACTGCCATGGGACACTGTGCGGCCACAGCTCACACAGCCCCCTCCAGCCAGGGCCGGTGCAAGGATTTTTGCCGCCCTAGGCAAAAGTAAAGTTTGCCGCCCCCCCCCATGTGACATCACAATGCCCCACCCATATGATTTGCCATGTTAACTAACGCCAGTGCTGCAGTGCCGCCGTGTTTACATTAAAAGGCCTGCAGGGACAGGCTATAGACACCAGAACCACTACATTAAGCTGAAGTGGTTCTGGGGACTATAGTGTTTCTTTAATGTGAGGTAAATTAGAGCTTAGTGCCACGAATAATATACTAGATTGCCTACTTACAACCAGATGAGGATGATGATGAGCTCTAGCTGCAGTCTGGCTCCACTGGTGTGGTGCAGAACAGGCTCTCTGGAGGCGGTTTGTAACTGTGGTCACAAAAATCAATGTTCTGGGAGAACGGGAAGCAGCTCCATTTTTTGGGGGCCCTTTACACAGCTCAGGGTCTGGGTCCCAGGGTCCACCTTCATGTTCCACCAATGAGTTTGTTCACAGGGGGTGGAGTGTGTAGGGGATGTCCTGATATATGTGTAAGGAATGCATTGTGTGAAATTGTGTTTGTATGTGTAAGGGCTGCAAGGTGTGTTTCTGTGTATGTATGGGATGCATTGAATGTGTGTAAGGGATGCATTGAGTGTGTGTAATGAATGCATTGTGTGTTTCTGTGTGTGTAAGGGATGCATTGTGTGTAACGGTTGCATTGCTTGTGTATGTGTGTCTGTGTGTGTAATGCATTGTGTGTTTTTCTGTGTGCAAGGGGTGCATTGTGTGTATGTGATGAATGTCAATCTCTCCTCCCGCTCCAATTTCCTTCTCCTCCTCCCAATTTCTCTTTCTCACCCCCCTCCTAATTTCTCTCCCCCCTAATTTCTCTTTCCCCCTCCTAATATCTCTTCCCCCTTTCTAATTTCAATT